CCAGCTATCGCCCAATTTCCCTTATTAATGTTGATCTCAAAATAATTTGTAAAGCCCTGGCTAAAAGATTAGAAAAGGTAACCCCCTTCATAATACACCCTGACCAAACTGTTTTCATCAAGGGTAGACAGTCATCCACAAACTCACGTAGATTACTTAATTTGATAGATTTCTCTTACAGTAGAAACATAGAAACTAGTATAATATCTCTAGATGCAGAAAAGGCTTTTGATAGAGTTAACTGGAAGTCCTTATTTGCAACTTTACATAAATTTGCAACTTTACATAAATTTTTATTTTTTTTTTATCTTTTATTTTCATTTATTGACATTAAAATAAAAATACAATCAGAACTAAATTGCTGCAAGCCAAAATGAAAAAGGGGACAGAAAGAAGAAAAACTTATGTTGTCTGCCCCTTTTAACTAAAATAGCATTAATACAAATGAAATAATCATATGACTTTTAAGGAAATTGAACAATATAGTTCCTGGACTTGTTGGCCGACAAAATCTCAACCCATGAATTTGAGAAAAAAATAGAAAAAGAAAACAATTTACACAGAAAGAAGCATTAAGTTACAGATCTATATACATACATATATACACATACAAGCACATACTAGGTTAATATTTTGTTCCTTTAATCCCCCCCACCCCCCTCCCCTCACACATTTATGTAACGGATCTATATAAGTTAATCGTTTTATTTTTTATCTCTTTTTTGAAAGTCAATATTGTTTTTGCATTCTTGAGTTCAGTATTCAATTTATTCCACAATTTAACTCCATATATGGAGACACAATGTTCCTTTACGAGTATCCGATGTCTAGGTATATTAAATAATTCATGTCCCTTTAAATCATATTTGCTATGTCTTTTTGAAAATCTTTTAATTAATCCTGCAGGTACGTTCCTTTTGTTTGCATTATACATAAATTTTAAAATATTGTAGTCCACCAGATCATAGAATTTTAGTGTTTTTAATTTAATAAATAATGGATTGGACGGATCTCTGTAGTTGCTCCTTGTGATTATTCTTATTGCTTTTTTCTGTAAGATGTAAATGGAATTTGTGTAAGTTTTATATGTTGTTCCCCAGATTTCAATGCAGTAGTTCAGGTATGGTACGATCAGTGAGTTATATAACAAATATAATGAATTATTATCAAGCAACCCTTTTGCTCTATGTAACAGTGCAATCGTTTTAGATATTTTAGTTTTGACACTGTTTATATGTAGTTTCCATGACAGTTTTTCATCAATGATGACTCCCAGATACTTGACTTCTTGAACTCTTTTAATATTAATCTCATCTATATTTAATAAAATTTCATCATTTGAATTTGTATTACTAAATATCATAAAACAGGATTTATCACTGTTTAATGATAGTTTGTTTCCATCAAACCATAGTTTAATTTTTTTCATCTCTGCTTGTATCACTTCTATCATCTGCTCAATATTATCTCCTGAATAGTAAAAAGTTGTATCATCTGCAAATAAGGTGCATTTTAATATATTGGATGCCTCAACAATGTCATTTATATAAATGATAAATAGTTTAGGGCCCAATACCGACCCTTGTGGTACACCACAAGTAATGTTATTTATATGTGATTTTGTGTTGTTTATTTGAACATATTGCTGCCTATCGGTAAGATAACTTGTTATCCATTTTAGGGCCATCCCTTTGATGCCATATTTACAAAGTTTTTTAATAAGAATTGTATGATCCACTGTATCGAATGCTTTTTTTAAATCAATAAAGATACTTATGAGATGATTTTTTTTGTCAAGGGCTTCCGATATTTCTTCTGTTAATTCCATTAAATTAAATTTGGGTTTGTAAGTGTAAATACTGATGCACTCTTAGAAAGTAGAAATCCAAAACTGTTTTTATCACTTAAGAAATATCTCCAAACTGAGAAGGTTGGTGTCAAAACATGAACTTGAAATGGTTTTCCATGCCTTTATCTCCTCCCGTCTAGATTACTGTAACACACTTTTCACATGTTTTAACAAAAAAGCCCTTGACTGCCTTCAGTTGGTCCAGAACTCTGCAGTGAGGCTCCTAACTGGAGCAAACAAGAGCACACATCACTCCTATTCTGATGTCTCTGCACTGGTTACCCGTTAACTTGGAGTTCATTTTAGAATCCTGATTATAACTTTCAGGGCTCTACATGGTCAAGCTCCTCCCTATATTACTGAACTGTTAAAGCCTTATGCTCCAACCCAAGCCCTCAGGTCCACCCACCAGAACATTCTAGAAGTTCCAAAGACCAGATATAAAAGTCAAGGTGATCGCTCCTTCCAGACTCCTCTTCCTTATCATCATCATCATCATCATCATCATCATCATCATCATCATGCTTTATTTATATAGCACTTTCCACCACTCTCAAAGGTGGCCCAAGGTGCTAAACAGGAAAAGTTATAAAGATAAAAAGTGGTAGCAAGTCATAAAAACACTAAAAACTAAAATAAGAACATAGACATTACTGAGAACAATAAAATGCAAATGAGATTAAACTTAGATAAAAGAAATTTAAATTAAGTTGTTAAACGAAATCAAAACAAAGATTAAAAAATAGAAACCAAACGAATTCGGACAAAAACCACCCTATAAAAATCAAGCAGTGGAGTGAAACTTTACAGAATTCCGAAGGGAGCACATCCATTTCAACAAAATCGGAGGCGTCTGTGGCTGCAGGCCATCAAAAGGGTTGATGAAAACTGGGCTGAAAACACGATCCGAAATGCTCGAGTTTGTAGCGCCCATTTTATATCAGGTAAGGTAATTATGTACTAAGGTTACATATAAATTTATTCACTTTATTTCATGCTTCAAATTAACATTTCATTCTAATTCATCTGTATTTTCCCACTGCATATTAGTATAAACTGTATTTCTCTGAAATTAACATGATTGTACTCTGAGCACGCTAAAACAAGAAACCTATGCTATACTCACCCTGCCATGCAGGTACAGTTGGCTGTGAAGACGTAGTTCTCTGGTTTGTTTACTATGACCCAAGCCTCGTACATAGCAGTCTTGTGTCCTTGTCTTTGGCTAGGAAGGACTTCTGCCTTCAGGACGCAAAACTCAGAGTCTATGTCGTGATATTTTACTTTCTGTACGTGGCCACAGACAACATAGTTGTATGCATCTAACGCTTTGTTTGCCCGTAGCTTCTCACGTGTGTACTTACTGGGCCTCTCCACTAAAAACGTATATATATCGGGCCACTGGATATCTGGCCACGCACCTACATCTTCCACCCATTCCGTAATGCCACAGGGATCCGGGAGTCTGTTGCCATTCGTTAAAGTGAGTTTAATAATATAACATTCAAGATTTGCCGGTGATAACCCCGCAGCGTAGCTTGATAAAGCCTGACACAACGCCATTCTCTGTTGCCAAGCTGCGCGCGCATTCTCGCTGACGTCATATTGTTTACAAACAGTAAAAGGGTCTATTTGCAGGCGATGCACAATAGTCTGACCCAACCCAGCATAGAGGGAGATATAATAGTCAAGCCTAGAGATCACAGACGCATGGAGTACACGCTCCAAGTGAGTTCTGGAAAGAATAGGCTTGAGTTTAGTAAGGTCACGTAACTGAAAAAAGCAAGACCGAACCACTGAGTTGACATGACAGTCCAATCTAAGGGCAGAATCAAGTCTCACCCCCAGGGTAGTGACAGCCAGCAGTCAATTTTTTACAAACTGTTTTATTAGTCATCTTCTGTTGAAAGATAACTTTAAGGTACATGAGCGAATGGTATTGGTTGCTGTCACCTGTTGTGATCGGTTAACCCTCCCACTGTCCTAATGGGTGTGACCCCGCAAGGAAAGTTGACCAATGAGCAGGTGTTGATGGTTTATCCCTTGGGTCCACGTGACAGGGGTGAGGAGTGAGCACCCAACTGCTGTGGCTCCCAGTGTTTTCTTTTCTGTGGAAAACGGGTAATAATGGCTCTTTGATGGGAAAAGGTTGCCAACCTCAGCACTAGGGTCAATAATTTCTGCTTGCGGCTTTCATGTGGTCTAACAGGTGTGTTAGCTGAAAAAGACAACAGCTACACTGATGTGTGAAACCTATGATGTCCAACCTATGAGCAAGGTCAGGATAGAGGAAAACACAAGTTAGCATTTGATGATGTGAAAAAATGAATCTGGCTTTGTCTGCAAAAGGTTCAGCTAACTTACCAGAGACTTAAGCCACCACTGAAGTAAGAAGAGACTGAATTTTCCCTTTGGATGCTCCTTTATGCAGTAGCATGTGATGTGACCATTTCGGTCACTGGCCAATCAGGATTGGCGTATTGAGATAACTGTTCCTGAGGAATCTGTGGAGAGGCGTATTCTATAGTGAGGCATCAAAATAAATGTTAGAAAAGGGAACTCCAACTAATCCATCATTCTAGTTTAACCACAGATTGTTTTATTGACATAGTTGTTTATGTTATTTATGTTTCATAGATGCTTTTATCTAAAGTGATTTAAACGTGAGGACATGTAACACTGCAGCGACCCTTGAGGCTAACGATAAACTAATGAGAGGGAATAACTCCAGTCAAAGGTCACTGAGTTCAAATATAGAGATGTGCTGGGTAGGTGGTAGGGTACGAGATGCTCTCTGAAGAGTTGGCCTGGTAGCCCTGTAGAACTACCATCATGGACTGACAGGAAAATATGGTCATTAGCATGGTGTCCACACTTCTTAGAAGAGCGGAGTGGCCGTGTCGTGACGTCAGACTTCACAAGGTTCAAAACCAGGAATGAGTCTCAAGCATGTTTTGTGTTTTTTTTGTTATGTATTAATAATTGTTTGTTGTTCTACAGACTAAAACACCTATTAAATCTGTAAGATTTAAAGCTTTAGAAGGATTCACCGGGCTGACAGACCTCAGACACCTGCTCTATCTGTCGGGTTTATTCTAAAGAGGATTGCTTTGTTCCTGACGGTAAATTAAGTGTTGTTGGTCTTTTGTAGAGAACATTGGAGGAACAGATGGAGAATCACAGAGAGGTTCATCAGAAACATCTAAGCCGACTCAGAGATGAGATTGAGCAAAAACAAAGAGAGACCGACCACCTCAGAGAGTAAAACATGAGTTTCATCTTGAATTTGATTCAAACACCATTACCAAAACAAGGTTTTTATTCTATATTTCTGTCAGTGTGAATCAGGCGCTGCAGCTGGAGAACCGAAAACTCCTCTCAGACGTTGACAAGCTAAGAGCTGAGGATCAAAACAAAGAGCAGAAACTACGGAAACATCAGTAAGTTTGTCCCTCTTTGCTCCCTGTAGACCTAGCACAAGTCTGCAGCGTTTCTGCAAAAGATCCAGAGAGAAAGTTTTTCTGTTCACCTGGTTTTATTTTGTGTTCAATTAAAAAAAAACATAAAAACAGATTCCCTAAATCAGCAGTAGATGGAAGTGTTGACATTTACATTATGTAAAAATATATTTTGCAAAAATCTAAGTCAGGTTTGGATTTAAAAATTGTTGCTGTGATTTTAGGTTCCTAAATGAGAGAAGGGAACAAGCCAAAGAGGACCTGAAGGGTCTAGAGGAGACCGTGGTACAAGCTTTATTAGTTTATGTTGAAATCATTTTAATATGCAGCTAAAATAGATCAGAGATCAGCAATCTCTGAATAATTCTTCTTTTATTTAACAGGTCAAAGAGCTGCAGATGCTGACCAACCTTCGTAAGCTTTTCATTCAAGACCTCACTTCTCGAGTCCAGAATGTAAGAAAGCCCAGACTTAAAGGAACACGCTAACCTTACGAACCTTCTGATACATAAACTGCTAATGTGTTATGCATACATTGTGTATTATAGTAATAATGATAATTGATAGGTAATTTTAGATTTATCCCATATTACCTTAAAGGACGACACAAACAGAGAGAGAGAGATTATTTGTAATGTCCATGAATCGTCATGCGAGAGCTGGGCGCAGAAACCCCTCCATGGAGCTAACCAGCCCCCCTCTGTTCCTGGGGAAAGCCTTCAGCTCACCAGCTCTGAATCCCCGGCATCTCCACCAAAATGTTAAGTAATTACATGTGGGGTAATATTTAATCTCCATAACCATGGAACCTGAAATAACACACATGACAATAAGGGAGGCATTTTACCCTGAGTCCCCAAAATAATGGAGAGTTTACGCAGGGAAAAACCTCCTCCGAGGCTTTTCCCCCGTCACTCCCAAATCTCCTCAGTTTCCCAGGGGCTTTATTCACCAAAAGGATGGGGGAGAAGGCGGGCCTTCTCAGGTTACAGAGGTACAGTTTTCAGTTGGAAACCCACAATCAACATCCTTGCTCAACCTTTCATGAACAGCAACAGTTGGCAAAAACAGAGATTCATTTTGTGTTAATAACATCTTTTAGGCCTCAAAAAGGTACAATTATAAAAATACCCAACAATAATAATGATGGGTTGGATTTATTTACAGAGAATCCATTAATCTGCTGGTGATATTAAACTACATGTTAGCCACAGCTGCCCCGGAGCAGTTTGACTGAGGCCATCGGCACCTCTGACCACCACCAACACATTCAAGTCAGATAAAATGCCTTGCCCAAGGATACAAGAGCAGAATTCCCAGGAATGAGCTGGGATTAAATGAGATCCAAATTGATCCAGTTCACATCAACGTGCTGAATATTACCTTCCTGACTGGGCATGGCTAACCCTCTCTAGGGAATTTTCTGATAATGGATCCAACATTCCAATATGGTGGTCTTTAAGCCATTGCCTCATGGAAGTCTAGTCTAAATCCCAGAGCACAGCAGCAAGGAGTATGCTGGTGAAGGTTCTCAGGCATCCAGGTCATGGGAATCCAAAGTGTTCAAATGGAGGCAACAGGACTTCTTTGGTTTCTTGAAGTGAAACGTCTTCAAGAAACCAAAGAAGTCCAGTTGCCTTCATTTGAACACTTTGGAGCAGCAAGAAGTATTTCGTAGATGTGGAAATACTAAAGGTTTTTTCTCTGTGCTGAACAGAATTCAGATGGCGACTGTGATGAAGCCGGTGGCAGTCTGGCTCAGAGGCACAGAATCATTTTTCTAGAAAATAACCTGGAGCAGCTCAGCAAAGTCCACAAGCAGGTGAGGTGTGTCACAAAGCCTTGCCCACTTCTGGATTGCCATTAGTGGAAGGAACAAGAAATGTGTTTGTCTCATTAATATCAAATGAGATTTGAGTTCACAAATTGCTTGTGTGGCTCCATCAGCGTTAGTCCATCTAAAAACCCATGCATGTGTGCATTTTAAATTGCATTTTGAAAAATGTTTTACACCAACTTCTTATTTTAATGCTGTCCTGAGCAGATGACTCCAAATTGAATAAGAAGCAAAAAAAAAAACTTGATTGGAACATCCATAAAAATAACTACTAAGTTCAGGGGTGGGGGATGGACATGTCATTCAAATTCCGTGGTAAACAGGTTTGTAGGATTTCCTTCTTCCATCTTTGGAATATTGCTAAGATCAGAAACATCCTTTCCAGGAGTGATGCTGAAAAACTAGTTCATGCATTTATTACATCAAGACTGGATTACTGTAATTCATTACTCTCAGGAAGTCCACAGAATGTAGTTCAAAGTTTTCAGCTTGTCCAAAATGCTGCAGTTAGAGTTCTGATGAGAATTAAAAAGAGAGATCTTATCTCTCCTGTCTTAGCTTCCCTACATTGGCTACCTGTTAAATTCAGAATAGATTTTAAGATCCTTCTTCTCACAAATAAAGCTCTTAATAATCAAGCTCCATCATACATCAGTGTGTTGGAAACGTTACTTTAAAAAAGTAATTAGTTATAGTTACTGATTACTTTGTCAAAAAAGTAACTCAGTTACTAACTGAGTTACAAGATTATAAAAGTAACTAATTACCAAGAAAAATAACTACTTCGTTACTTTTTTCATTAAAGAATGCAAGAATTACTACAATAGTGAAATATAAATGACTAATGACTGGAACATAATAAAATGTATGTCCAAATGTATTTTTATAAACCTGAATAATTTAAATAAATAAGCACTTTACAGGAGGAACTGCTAACAGGAACATTACACTTATCTAGACTATTAAAAGGTGACTGTGTGATATTTAACAAGACCCCAAGCAGCTAAAATTTAAAATCGCAAATAGAATCACCTGTAAAGGTTCCCGAGCCTTTAAATGGTCGCTCAGTCTAGTTAAATTACAGAAATGAATGTAATTTTGCACAGTATTTTAATTTTTCCAGCTTCACATAATTGTGTGTTTTTAGTAGCATTTCTGTTGCTGCTAATCTAGTAATGGTTAAATAAATAAATAAATAAATAAATAAATAAATAAATAAATAAATAAATAAATAACATCCTTTAACATGACACTAGAAGAGGCACAAATCTGATGGAGGACTTAAATGTACTAACGTGGGTCAGACCCAACCACAGAAGAGCTGAAACTGGATGGTAAACACACACAAGTAGTTCTAATAACACCTGAGCTCCATGACGTCTGAGACTGATGCATCAGTGTTACAGCGGGACTAAAGACATGATCAGAAACAGGTTACAGCTGGATGATCTAGGAAGGTAGAAGATCAGGACATCTGAGCGGTGAACAGGTGAGCGGACCTTCGGGACGTCCCGCTGTCACTCTAAGAAGGGCACGGCTGCAGACCCGCAGATTCGTTGCTGCAGCAACGAATCTGCGGGTCTGCAGCTGTAGATATTCATCACGTCTTCCTCGTTCTTCACGGGCCGTGATGCGCTTGGATGAAAACATCTACCTCTTTAGCTCCTGATCAGCTGATGACAGCTTCAATACACCGCGCTGCTTAACGCACGCATTTTCCTATCAGTAACAGAAACAATCGTTTTGTTAAAAGAAGACGGTAATTACTATAATTAGTTTGCTCGTTACTGAAAGAACGCGTTTTTAGTAACGCGGTTATTTTAAATGGCGTTATTCCCATCACTGCTCTGTTGGGTCTACAGCATGCAGCGACTGAGACAGTGAGAACACTGGGGGTCTCCGCCTACCTGGCCAATCATCATCGTGTTTGTAAGTGTGTTACCGACACCTCTCTCTCCCTGGCTGCTGCTGAAGTGTGGCAGTCAGAAAGCCTCACACTGTTGCTCAACGTTAGACAAGCACATAGTAACGCACAACCTTCTGTCCCCAGTAACGTAATGGCGTTGCAACAGTGGGAAAAGTAATTAATTAGATTATTCCGTTACCTAAAAAAGAACGCCGTTATATTTAAACAGCGTTACTTCCAACACTGTACATCAGTGACCTGATTGTTCCATACGTTCCTAACCGAGCACTTCACTCTCAGACTGCAGGTTTACTGGTGGTTCACAGAATATCTAAAATTAGGATGGGAGGCAGATCTTTTATCTATCAGGCTCCTCTCCTGTGGAACCAGCTCCCAGCTTTAGTCCGTGAGGCAGACACCTTGTCTACTTTTAAGACTAGGCTTAAAACATTTTTATTTGATAGGGCCTATGGTTAAAATCTGATGTTAGCCTAAATCTGGACAAGTGGGGGAGTACAGGGAGGTGGAGTGTACAGTCGGTAAAGACGGCTCTCCCTTGCCCTGCCTCCAACATGCCTCCATCTAAATAGGATAGATTATCCAGAGTTATCTCTGTAGTTATGCTGCTATAGGCTTAGACTGCTGGAGGATACACTGACCACTTTCCACACTCGACTACTTTCTTCTACAATCTGCTCTTTAACTGTATTATTTCCTGCTATTTCAGCTGTTAATTTTATTTTCTCTCTAAGTGTTTTTCTCCCCAGAACTGCTGCTAACCACTTAAACATTCTCCCTCTCCTGATAATAACATTTTACTTTCTTTGACATTGAATGTGCTACGACTAGCACTAAAATGTATAAATATTCACAATGAAAATTGGCCCAAAATATCGGCATTGACTTACCATGATTTTTACGTATTGTCGTCGGTATCAGCAATAGAATACCCATATCGGTCGACCTCTGCTATTGAGTAATTATAAGGACTTTTTTACTCTATAGGCTAGTTGGTACTAATCACTTACATTGTTGTATGCTAAGCTAAAGCTAAAAGAGTGCTGCTGGATCAGGGCAATGACTGGACTAGTTACAAATATTTATTTCCTATTTAACTTTGGGAAATATAGCAACAGACCAAATTTTACTTTAGGGTGAAATATCCCTTTAAAGTGATACATTCCTCGTGATATCTCAAGTACTCACTTTTGTCAAATACAAATCAACCCCAAAAATAATGATTCTGTACTTTCTTCTCGTATTTTTGTAGAATTTCCTAAACAGCTTTATTATTATGATGTTTTCTTCTGTATCATTTTGTTTAGTGGGGCTCCAGATATTAGAAGAGACCACATCTGTTTGATGGACCAGATGAAGCCTAGTAAATGTATCCTGTGTTTCCAGCTGGTTTGTGATAATGCAGACCTTCGTTGTGAGCTGCCCAAGTTGGACCGGCGTCTGAGGGCCACAGCAGAACGAGTGAAAACCTTGGAAAGTGCTCTGAGGAATGCTAAGGAGTCGGCTGTGAGGGACCGCAAACGTTACCAGCAGGAAGTGGATCGAATTAAAGAGGTGGTCCGATACAAGAACATGTCCAGGAGAGGACATTCTGCTCAGATTGGTGAGGCCTGCTTTCAAACCAGAAGCATGGTACTTACCACCTTACTCAGCTGTAACCTGTGTCTGTGCAGCTAAGCCAATCAGACCTGGGCATCAACACCAGCTGATCTCTTCTCCGACCATCAAATCCTCGGTTAGAGGAGGTGGTATACCCAGTCCACGTCATCATGCCCCCAGACTCCAGACAAGTCAAAAGCAACTCCCTCAGTGAAGCTACTACCAGTGGGTCACAAATGAGGTAAAATTCTGTTTGGAGTTATTGCATTAAAATTTAATTGATAAATATTTAAATAAATCAAACCCAGTTTGATATAATTTATTAAACTTTTATTATTTCTTCATGTTTGTTTTGGGTGTTTGAATTCTCTAACCCAAAACAAATTTTTTTTACTTTTACGTGAAATCTGAACTAAAAATTCACAGAAAAAGATTTTAGTGTTGCAGGCTTCACTTGTTTGTGTTTTTTTAGTATTCATGTATAATAATAACATCACAATAATATGCAACCTTCTTTGGCCTCAGGACTTCATCTGTTTCTCATGAGGTTCTGCTCCTGGAAACGTCCTTGTCCTCTCTGCTTTCCCTGAGGGTCTTTCAACAGCATCTCACTGAAAAGCCCCACCTACAAATAGCACAGGATTGAACTTTGACCCATCTCAGACTGATGGGAAGCAGCAGTTACTTATAAAAGGTTGATATCTTTTCTTCTTGTGTTAATGCACACCCTGTGTTCTCCAGAGAACTGCTACCCACATAGATGAGCTTACACTCATGATGATCCATGGCTGATCCTCGCTGTCTCAATGTTTCTGTTTTATAAATAAATACCAGTCAATCTGATGGTTTTTCTGGAATCATGGGGACCCACTACTCGATGCCTTTTTAGAATGAAATATTCAAGCCTTTTGTTTTTTATGACATATTTTATTCATCCTGATGTGTTTGAAGTTGTAAATGTTCCTTTTGTGATTGTAATGGTTGTTTTGTATTTTATTATGGAACGTTTTTGTAGTTGTGACATTTTAACTTTTTATTTTCCTCAGTGGCTTGCTTTGGTTTCTGTGTCCAATTGTCCTTCAGGGAAAAGCTGGAAATTAAATTTGACTTCAACAGCACATGAAGCCAAAAGCTTTCCTTCCGTTTCTCCGTCTCTCTCTCTCTCTCTCTCGCTCTCGCTCTCTCGCTCTCTCTCTCTCTCGCTCTCTCTCTCTCTCTCTCTCTCTCTCTCTCTCTCTCTCTCTCTCTCTCTCTCTCTCTCTCTCTCTCTCTCTCTCTCTCTCTCTCTCTCTCTCTCTCTCTCTCTCTCTCTCTCTCTCTCTCTCTCTCTCTCTCTCTCTCTCTCTCTCTCTCTCTCTCTCTCTCTCTCTCTCTCTGTACGTGTGTGTGTACATCATATCCATGTGTTGTGTTTTATTCTCAGTGGTGTATTTACTGTGATGGACTACTTGGTAAAGTGTTTAGACATGTTAACTAAACTTCACTAACCCTCTTTTTCCAACAGCATTACTCAAACAGCTCAGTACAACCAGCTCAAAGTGAGTGTACCCGTCATAGTTTGCAAGGGAGATGGGGTGCGAATGTTAGGTCTAACTTCTACTTTACCATTTGTGTGGGTACGGAGACGCAACACCATTATGCATTGGTTCAAGGACTCTCCGACAGGCTTGCAGAGGCTGCCACAATATATGGCAATGAAACAAACCTTGGGCCTCTCCTCCGCTGACACTGACTCGAGACGGTAGCGGAGCACCGCAACCCCCAACCTCCGCTCTCACCACCACCCCGAGACGTTCCATCATGGTTGAAAATTTGTTCCAAAATGAAAGTTGAACCGACGTCTTTTATGGCTGTGGCATCTCATTTGGACATTCAATAACTAAAATTTAGAGTTCTTATTACTGTCTTACTGTCAAATGAAATATATCATTACTGTAATTAAATATAATTAGTGGAATAAAAAAAAACATTTCCGTATGCCATCTGAATAGAAAACTCATATGTCCCTGGCTTGATTTGAACCCAGGTCCTCGGCATGTAAGGCGTGCACCTTACCAGTTGACTTGTACATAAAGTCACCTAGTGGATGTGCACATGTAAAAATTTATCTGAATAGATTTTTAGGGAATTTTCTGTTACATAGGTTTTAACAAATTGAAGACATCTGACCGCGACCAATTTTGGCTGTTGACCCCGTGTTACCGTTTGTGACTGTTGTTTGCTGTTAGAGTCAACTGGCATGGCCATGTTTGTTTTGCTTAGATGGGCACTTGATAATATCGTGAAAACTAAGTCCCACCCTACAGCGCAGTACTGACACACAACTGGTCCGGTGTATTTTAGATTGGATGATCGCACTGTTTGTCTTTGGAACCGGAAGTTACTCTGCCTGTAATGCATTTTGTTTGAAGAACCACAAAGCTGAAGTTGGTTCCCGTTTCTGGTTCCTGTTATGGAACAGGAAGAGAAACAGGAGAGCAGCAAAGTTTTAAACATGTTTGTTGAAAACTTAAAAGCTTAAAGCAGTTCTGTTTATAGGCATTTTCTGTCTTTATATTTGTTTTTTAGATTACGTTTTAGGCAGAAATCAGCCAGAACAAGCTTGTATAGCGGGTCGTGTGTGTGTGTGTGTGTGTGTGTGTGTGTGTGTGTGTGTGTGTGTGTGTACCCATCTATACATCAAAGTGAGGACCAAAACAAGTTTTTTACCTGCAAACTGACGGCATTAGTAGCGAAGTGGGGACATTTTGCTGGTCCTCACTTTGGTACAATGCTACAGAGCTCTACTCGTTAATTTTAGAGGTATGATGTGAATTAAGTTTCAGTTAAGTTTAAGAATACACTGGTTATGGTTAGAGTGAGGAGTACCCCAGGGTTCCATCCTGGCTCCCCATTCTTCTCCCTTCATCTGCTGCCACTGGGCAACATCTTCCTTAAGCACAATGTCAAGTTTCATCTATATGCGGATGATTGTCAAGTCAATATCCGATTAAGACATAATAACACAGGCTCCCTTCAGCCACTATTGGACTGCTTAGAGAAGGTCAAATTATGGATGTCTCAAAACTTTCATGTTTTAAGCAACAGAATGAACGGTGGTTCATTCTGTTGCTTAAAACATACATTAAACTAAAGTTAACATGCAAGTTATGAAAGCTTGTAGACTAAACAAAATTATTTTACCTGGAACGGTTGTGAAGAAGAAGAAAATATCATTTCTATAGCACCTCTCAAGATAAAAATCACGAGGCACTTCACAAAAACAAAAAATGTAAAAATATTTAAAAAAAGCATTTAGAAAATGTTTAAAATATATTTAAAATGAGCAAAAACGGGCAATTGTGATTACAAAAATATTAAGAAAGAGAGAGAGTGAATAGGAAAGAGGAAAATCAGTAGATCCTGAGGAAGGTGGAATAGGTGGGGAGAGCAGAATAAAGAGAGAGGGGTTGAAGAAGGTCATACAAAAGCCAGCTTGAACAAGTGAGTCTTCAGCTGCTTTTTGAAGGAGACCACTGAGTCCACTGATCTCAGGCTCAGGGGGAGAGAGGTTGGGGGCCACAGCAGCAAATGATCTGTCACCTTTGGTCTTTAGCCTGGTGCTGCACAACCAGTAGGCTTTCATAACTGGACCTCAGGGACCTGCTGGGGGTGTAGGGACTAAGAAGATCACCAATGTAAGATGGTGCTTGTCCATGTAAGGCCCTATAGACCAGAACCAGGATCTTGAAATGAACCCTGAAGTTGACTGGCAGCCAGTGAAGCTGGAGGAGAAGCGGGGTGATGTGGGTGTGTTTGGAGGACTTGGTCAGAAGCCGAGCACAGGCGTTCTGAACCACCTGTAGACGGTTCAGGGAGGTTCTGCTCAGACACGTGAAAAGAGAGTTACAGTAGTCTAAGCGTGAGAAGATGAAGGTGTGGATAAATGTCTCAAGTTCAGAGCGGGACAGAATGGGACTCAGCTTAGCAATGTTCCTGAGATGGAAGAAGGAAGAGCCAACAAGAGAACTGACATGAGAATCCAGGGTGAGAGCTGGGTCAAAGGTCATGCCAAGATTCCTGACAGAAGGTTTGGTGTGAAAAGCAAGCTGACCAAGAGAGTCTCTGACTTTGGGAACCAGCTTGTCTGGGGCACAGATGAGGATCTCAGTCTTATCTTCATTCAGCTGTAGAATGCTCCCAGCCATCCAGGTTTTGATAGACTCTAAGCAGGTGTGTAACAGCTGCAGCTTAGACATCTCATGGGGCTTAAAGGAGATGTACAGTTGGATGTCATCTGCATAAAGATGGTAGGAGATTCCTTTGAAGGAGCTCAGGATGTGCTGAAGAGGAAGCAGATAGAGGAGGAAGAGCAGAGGCCCCAGCACAGAACCTTGTGGGACACCATGGGTAAGACAGGTGGTGGAGGACCTAAACTTGAAGACGGCCACAGAAAAGGAGCGCTCAGAGAGATAAGAGGAGAACCACTCCAGAGCAGATCTTGATAGGCCTACCCAGACTCTCAGCCTCTCCAGTAGCAGGTGATAGTCAACAGTGTCAAAGGCTGCAGTCAGGTCCAGCAGGACCAGAACAGTCCCCTGCATCACTGTGAGTCAGAAGGTCATTAGAGACCCTAAGAAGAGCTGTTTCAGTAGAATGAGCTCTACGAAAACATGACTGGAAGCTATCATAGATGTTATGTTCATCAAGAGCAGCTGTGAGTTGTTTAGCCACAACCTTTTCCAAGATCTTGGAGATGAACGGAAGTTTAGAGATGGGTCTGAAGCTGCTATGGAGAGACGGGTCGAGATTCGGTTTTTTAAGAAGCTGGTGGATTACAGCATTTTTAAAGTAAGCAGGGACCTGACCAGAAACCAGAGAAGCATTAATTATAGAGAGCATGCTGGGACCGATGGACTGAAAAGCACTTTTAAACAAAGATGAGGGTAAGATGTCGAGGGGGCATGCAGGGGTCTTCATAGAGTTAACTAGTTTGGTTAACTCAGGCAAAGAAACAGGAGCAAAGCTATCTAGGATGATGGGTCGGGTTGGAGTCGGGAGAGGCAGCGATAAGGCTAAAGGAGAGATGCTAGATCTAACCTCATTGACTTTGTCCACAAAGAAAGACAAAGTTCTCACAGTCTGTAAAAGAGTGGATGGAGGCTGTAGGAGAGGCAGGAGAGACAATGCTGCTGATGGTGTTAAACAGCACCTTGGGGTTCCCTTTGCTCTGGGACACCAGGTTGGAGAAATAGGAAACCCTTGCATCTCTGACTGCAGAGTTAAAGGATGTCAGAAGATCCTTTAGGTGCAGCAGATGGACGTAGAGATGGGTTTTCTTCCACAAACGCTCAATTTTTCTGCATTGGCGCTTCAGGCTGCGAAGGCTGTCATTAAACCAGGGAGTAGGGTTCACTGATCAACTGATCTGATTCTGATAGGACAGATGTTGTCCAGAATGGAGAGGCAGTGCTCATTAAATTGAGAAGTTAAGGAATCTGGGTCGTTATCAGAAGAACAGGGTGGATCAAAAGCAGCAGAAAAATTGCTAGCTGTGCTCTCATTAAGAAAACGAGAACTAACCATACGGTGAGCAGGAGGTGGGGACGCAGAAACTGACAAGTTAAAGAAAATGCAGTGGCGATCTGAAATATAAACGTCCTCAGGACAAACACTGTCAGCATTTAGACTCAGGGTAAAAACAAGGTCCAGAGTGTGCCCCCTGGTGTGTGTGGGGCCAGAAACACCCTGGGTAAAGCTGAAGGAGTCCATAAGGCTGGAGAAATTCATGGCAAAGTGATCAGAGGGATCATCAACGTGGATGTTAAGGTCACCAACAATCGCCAGTCTGGACAACTTCACAGTGGAGGATAGAAAGTCACTAAACTCCTGAAGGAAAGAACTGTTTGGACCAGGTGGACGATAGACCACAGCACAGTAGAACGGGTCCTTACGCCCGACTTTAATCAGCTGAAGTTCAAAGGAAGCAACGTGACCAGATGTTGTAGAGCTACATGGAAGATGGTCTCTGAAAACAACAGCTAGGCCTCCACCACGACCAGAACCCCGGGGCTGGCTAAGAAAAGAATAACCACTCAGGCAAAGTTCAATCAGACCAGAATAATCAGATGTTTGCTGC